CCCTACGGATAGGACCTATTACTCTCTCCCGGAACACATGAGGACACATGGAAGCTCAGAGAGGCTAAGGGACTCATCCAAGGTCACACAGCTAGTAAGTGGATTTAGCCACAGTAGGTACTCAATAGGGTTTAAAGTAGGTGCAAAGAAAGGAAACTGGAGAGAAAGAAAGGGGGAGAGAGAGAGAAGAATAAGAGAGAGCAAGGAAGGAAGGACACTGGAGACAGGACAGAGACAGGGTGTGGGTCCAGACTGTCACTTACTGGCTCTGGCACTGGGACACAATCACTGCCTCCCTGGGCTTTTGTTTCTGTATTTGAAAGATGAAGGAGAAGATGTGCTTATCTCTCATATTCTGTGATTCTTTGAATTGTAAAGTGGAGTCTCCTCCTCACATTACAGATCATAGTTTCTTTGTCTCTCTCTCTGTTATGTCTATACTTTCCTTGTGGAAGTTTGCCCTCAATTTCAGGGATGCAAATAACATCTCTAACTCAGGTGGGCAGTAAGAAAACCACACTACTCCGTGATCGGTTAACAACATCCCATAAAAAAGCTATGATTTATTGTCTTTTGTTCACCAGCTATTGCCAGGAAAGCTAATATATGCTAACAGAAATGGAGGTAGGAGGCAGATGGCTGGAAATGTAACACACACATATATTTTAACTATGTAGATTTGAGCCAGAAATAAAATGAGAGCTGGGATGGCTCCAGGACAGAGAAAGAAAAAGATGTCTTTTTGGGACAAAAAGATAAAACTTGCCAAAAATCAAATGAGTTAGTTGTTGTGAGTCATTCATTGATTCTATCTACTATAAGGATGGTGCCATGTTGCTGTCATGGAGAGAAGATGCCCACACGGGGAGTTGTCTAGAGCGAGTCTGAAGCCAAGAAGAACTGGACACGCTTAACACTAAGTGTTTGCCAGACCCTGTTCTGGATAAAAATAGACACCTGAAGTTGGTCCTCCGAGGAAGAGGACTCAGAAACTGCATCACCAAGGAGGTTAATCGACTTGCCTTAGGTCACTGGGCTGCTTCTTAGCAGTCGAAAGTAGTAGATGGCAGCGTCACCGCCCTTGGCCAGGGTGTGACTCTGCCGCCACATGAGTATCCACATCCCTGCCCTGAAGTGCTTCAGTGGCTCTGAGTGTCTCTTTCCTCTGAAAATGATAGGGCCCCTGAGCTAGGCGATGCCTTAAAGATGACAGTGGATTTTCATGCTTCCTACACTGCAGAATGTTGAATGTTACTCACACTCGGCCTATGTGATGGGGAGACAGAGGCTGGGGGCTCAGACACCCCATCTCATCTCCACCTCACAGGGGCCTGCACTCTGGTGCTCCCACCTCTCTCCCCTCTCCCTGTTCCCATTTTAAAGATACCAAAACTGAGTCCCAGGGAGCTTGAATAGTAGAATAGAAGAGACTGTTGTTCCCCACCTGTCAAATGAGGAGGTGGGACCAGCTTCTGCCTTTGAGTACCATTTCCTGCCTTGTCAGGAGGGTCACGGGCTTTGAGGTGCCAAGAGCCGTGAAGACTCGGGAAGCACGTGTGAGGGGCATGGTCGTGGCTGTGTTTTGTGGAGGTTCTCAGATCAGCGCAGTAGAGCCCTGTCTGGGGACCCATGAAGGGATATGAGGATGCTATTCAGAAACAGAGAAGCCCAGACTGTCCCTGGGAGACTGTGGTCACCATTCCATTCTGTCTAAGGAGTGTTCCTCCGAGCACCAGCCAATCCCAGGTCCCAAACAGAAGTCTGGGGCCGTAGCCACTCAGGAGCCTGTCCCTTTAGGCAAAGGGAGATATATGGGTATAAAATGGGACATTTGGCCCCAGAGACAAACATGCATGAAGGGACGTGATGTGGAGAAGCCAGGGGAAGGCTGCCACCCTTTAGCCTCCCAGAAGCCAGGAGAGGAGCTAGAACTATCCTTGTCTTCATAGGGAGTGTGGCCTATTTCAGACTTTTGAACTTGAGACAGTGCATTTCTGCTGCTCTGTGCCACCCAATTTAGTGGCACTTTGTGACAGCAGCCTATAAAACCAATCCAGGTAGGGCCCAAGCTGACTCTTGTTTTCATCTTGCCTTGCTTGGATGGCTTTTGCCCTCATGTAGGAGATGTACTTCTTACTTTTGCCGCTGTAAATTTTGGGGTCCAAAGGCACAGGCACCTGAACTGAACTTGCTGCAGGAGAGTCCCACCTTTCATTATTGCCTCTGCCTTAAAAGGGAGGAGGAGGGCAGAGAACCAGACAGGAAAGCCAGTGCACTGAGAGTGGATCCTCGAGAGCCCTGGCATTGGAAGATGCCACCAAGGCTGATCTAGGCATGATTTCCCACGCTGGGCTTCTTGTCTGTGGGTGGCCACACACCGCAGGATTACGTAGGCATGTTTCATCTCCGCCCAAACCACATGGCTGTCGGCTTCGTTCTTCTCTCCTGAAGACCTCCATACCAGAACCCTGGCCTGCCATTTATTTTACTTAAAAACTAGAGGCAGTTTCTTGAATCTAGGAGGTGGGTTAGGGTGAAATTATAAATAGCTCTGAGCAGAGAGACCACATGAGAAGTTCTGGGTAAGTCACTGCTCTGCCACTAACAGGCTGTTTCTCCTCGATGGAATCAGGCCGAACTCCTTGAAGCTCAGGATCTTTGCTGTGTTCTGAATGTTGGTGTCTTTATAAGGGTAACATTTCAAACTTTCCAACTCCGCAAGGATTCTGGATGCATTTGTAGAGTGCTATGAAAATTAAATCAGCTCTTTGGGGCAGCGGTCCTCTACGTTTTGGGCACCAGGGACTGTTTTCATGGAAGGCAATTTTCCCACAGACTAGGGTGGAGGGGCATTTGCTTCTCATAAGGAGCACACTCCCTAGATTCTGCACACTCTTTACAGCCGGGTTCGTGCTTCTGTAAGAACCCATGGCCGTGCTGACCTCACAGGACGCGGAGCCCAGGTGGTGATGAAAGGGGAGCAGCCGGCAGTACAGACCCACTCACCTGCCACTCCCTTCCTGCTCTGCAGCTTGGTTCCCCACGGGCCACAGTCTGATACTGGCCCATGGCCTGGGGGTCTGGGGACTAGGACTGTGGGGAGACTCAGTAGATATTGGGTGCTTTAGGGAAATTAGAATGCTTTGGGGACTGTATTAGTTTCCCATGACTGCTGCAACAAATTACCATAAACTTGGTGGCTTAAATCAACAAATGTATTCTCTTATAGCTCTGGAGGCCAAAAGCCCCAAATCAGTTTAAGTCAAAATCTAAGTCACAACAGGGCCACACTCCTCAGGAGGCTCTGGGAGAGATTTATTCCTTGCTCTTCCACTGGCTGGTTGCTGCTGGCATTCCTTGCCTGGTGACCATGCCCTCTCTGCCCCCATCCTCCCCAGCCTGTGCCTGTGGTCACATTGCCTTCTCTCTTCTCTATAGACCAAATCTACCCCAGCTGTCCCTTATTAGGACACTTGTGATTGCCTTTAAGGCCCACTCAGGATGCCGCAGGACAACCCCCCAAGGCAAGAACCATGCTTAGTCCACATGCCCAGACTCTTGTCCTCATAAGGCAGCATTTACAAGTTCCAGGGATTGGGACCTGATATCTGTAGGTGGCCATTATTCAGCCTACTCTAGGGACACCATTAATTATAATGACAAATTATGTACGTTCATAAGATGCCTTGCAAAGTAACACAAGGTAAAGCCTGTTATGGGCCAGATAACTTACGTCCCAGATATTGTTAATGCTGACCCTGAGAGGGAAAATTATTAACCTCCTTTTATAGACAAGGACACTGAGGATCAGAGAGGCACAGGAGCCCACCCGGGATGGCACAGCTGGACCCCCACTTGACAGCTGGTGTTCTTTCACTCCTTCTCCCTATAGTGCATGAAACAGAGCATGGACGTGGGTAACTAATGCCCTAGACCCCACATAGCAGGTCTTGCTTCCACTCTTACATGGAATAGAACCCTCTTGTACCTCTTAGACATATGTTACCCGGAGAATCTGCTGCCTGTGAACGCCTACTGGGGATGCAGCAAAGCACCTCACTATTTCCTTGCCCTTGGAGGAGAATAAGGTCTTCCCAAAGGTGCTTCAATGTAGAGACGTGGCTCAGTGTGGAGGAATCACACTGGGCAGAAATCTGGGTTTTCCCACATGGTCACCGGCTCAGGACTGTGAGGTATGCAGCATAAGTCAGGTGGCCTCACTGCTCTCCCTCCAAAGCCCTGGACAGCCACATCCCCGAGCTGCTCTCGAACTCTGTGGCTGAGCCTGTGTTTCCCTGTCACTTAGCCTCTCAGCTCCCTTTGTTCCGCTGATGGAGTCACCCAAACCCAAACCTTCTCTTCTTCTTTCTAAAATCTTTCCCTGGCCTTCTGGGAAACTCAGGGCCAAACTCTGTGCTCACTGGTTGTCCCTTCCTTCACTGTTGCTTTTCTTGTGTTTGTACCTTTCACTTCTTTATCCCATTTTCATGATCTCATTGCACTTGAGACTATTCTAAGGTACCTTGAACCCAATCTGGAAGTAAGAATGATAATTGAATCAAGGTGAACCAAACTTTCCTTTGGTCAATTAAAAAAAAAAAAAAACTCTTATACTTTGGAAAGTAATTTTCTTAAACTAAATGCTCTGGAGGCAAAACCATGTAGGATTAATGAAAAACTCCTCCCCAAGCCGAGCTAATCAATTAATAACTAATGTTGCAGTTCCAAAGTGTGTCATCACTGTTTACAAAGCTTTCCACATCTTTTATTCTACTTCCCCTGCCTATAATACTGTGAGATGAAGTGTCTACTACAATTATTCCCATTTTTCAGATGATGAAACTGAGGCTTAGAGAGGTTAGTGATGTGACCCATGTCACCAAGCCAGGACTTACCCTTTGGTTCTACCTTTTTCTCTGCTTCCCCATCTCATTAGTGAGGGGAACTTCAGCCAGACTGTCTTCTTTGCCAATACCCCCCCTAGCCACACAGGACCTTACCTGTCATGGCCATAGGTTTTGGGAGCGTGGTACATGAAAACATTTCCTTGGGCCCTCCTTGCCCAGGCACTGGCCATGTCGATCACTGGGCAGGTGATAAAGTAGTCCCTAGCAAAAGGGGAACACAGGAGGAAGGCAGGTTACACATAGCTCTGCCTACATCTGTGCCCAGCAAGGGCTTTTCCCAGGCAAGGTTCCCTCAGGCCCCGAGCCCCTCACCTAGCCCTATAGAGGACACCCCTTCTCACATTCCCGAGAGACCCTCTGGCCCCACTGCTGCACTGTCAAAGGAGCTGGGGTACAGTGCACAGCCCTCAGATATGCAAGGGACATGATCACAAAATGCTGTCCACAGTGATGCGTTTTAGGGCCCAACTGCATGTTAATCTGTGGGGTAAACATCATCGCAGAACATCAATTTTATTTAAAGATTGGAAGCAAAACACATTCTAGGAAAACAAGAACAATATACTTTGGAGAAACCCCCCAGGGAATGTTTGGCAATTTCTGGAGAGTTTTGGTTGTCATAGGTGGTGTGAGATGTGCTCTGGAAGGGGCTAGGAAGCTGCTGGACATCTTCCAATGTGCAGGAGCCCCTCAGCAAGGGAGGATCCAGCCTAGAGTGTCAGGAGTGGGGCAGCTGTGGGACCCTACCCAGGACTCCTGGAGTTTCACGTGTGCTCCCTCTCTGGGGATAACGTGAATATATTTCAGAAGCAACAGCTTATAGCTGTGGGGTCCTACGTGCAGTGAGGAGTGGGCCATGTGCCCTGAAAGGGAACAGGCCCAGGAAGAGTCAGACAGGCCCAGTGGGTTTGAATCCCATCTTCACTGTGGAATGCAGATGGGGTTCTCAGCAATCCCTTCACCTCCCTGAGCCTCCATCTTCCCAGCTGAGAGGTGGGCCAACGGTGCCCACCCTGCAAGGATGTTGTAATGACCAGGTCCAACAATACCCATGAAAGTCCCTCAGCTGGGGGGCTGCCCACCCTGTTTTTCTGGTTGTTGAGACAGAAACTTCTGGGGAATCTACAGGACAGCTCGAATACCTATGGATGAAGCTCTCAGGTCAGTGGAGCAGCTGTGGGTGTCTTGAATGACAAATGAAGGCAACTGTGTTTCCTCTCATGGTCACCTAAGGTGTAGGCACTATGAGCGGCACAAGGATGGGCTCAGACCTACAGGAAGAGCTGCCCACTGGAAGGCCTCGGGAGGCCCCTGCTGAGACACTGAAGGCAGGGAGGCCCTCAAGGCCAGGCCTGAGTTGCCCAGTCCTGACTCTGGCCAGAAAAGCTAAGCCCTCTGCCTCCCCATAGCACATGAGGCATCCTTACAGCCAGAAGAGGCAGAATTGAGGCAAGAGCCTGGGTTCTCTGGCCTCCAGCCCTGGGGTCTCTCCACAGCACAATCTGGCAAGTGCTGACTTGATTACAAGCCTCTCTGGGTCAGGGACTGGACATCTGTGAGTTCTGACAGTCCAGCCCAAGGCAGGGCCTCCGGAAATAGCTGCTGGGTGTTTGGTTTAAAGCAGAGCTCTCCACTAGAGGGAAAATTAAAGCCTTTCTGGTCTCCAAGACCCAAGTAGATGGTACAAAGTTTTAGTCTAAACTAATGACCTCAAATTAGAAACTCCAGACTCCTGGGTGGAGAGAACAGCAGAGAAGTGGGTCTCTAACACTTTGAAGTTTGTCCCTTCCCCACAGAGTCAAGTTTAGCAAAAGCCATGTCACTGGGCCTATCCCCAGGGACATGGAGCAAGAGGCAAGCAGGCCAGCGTGGACTCCCCAGAGGGACAGAGGAAGGAAGATGCCAGGTGCTGACCCACCTCCACACCACAAAATTCTTCCTACAAAGGAAACCAAGGATATGTCAGGGCCTGTGAGGAGGCTTGAGGGTGACCCAAGGTCTGTGTGCCTACCAGGGTCTTACCCGCAGGGGCCTCTGAAGAAAGAGAGAACCAGAACCCTGGTTTTATTTCCTTATTTCTATTCAAAGTTCATTCTTCATGTTTCTGCTGTGTGCTCTTATAAGATAGTTCTTGGCCCCAGCAAGTTCATGCTGTCCTGGCCTGGGAGAGGTGTCAGGCCAGTCCTGACACTACCAGGTGGGGCAGTGCTATTAGATTAGAGAGGGACACTAGTGACAGCAAGGCCTATGCCAGATTATCTAGGGTAGGGTCCCAACAGGCTTCCCTGGAGAGGGACACTGGAAATAGCAGGAGCTGTGCCATCTAGGGTAGTATCCGAACAGGCTTGCCTGGGTGAGAGAAGCTTCAGCCACTAACAGGTCTAGGCACATACGCAGTGGGCATAGGAAACAGCTGCAACTGGGGAGAAGCCTCTCCGAGCCTGAGCTGTTCCCACATGGGGGGTGGCTGTGGGCACAAAACCTTCCTGTCCAGGACTTGCTTCCCCTGTGACAAGTCAACTCTCTCTGCCAGCAGAGTCAGCTTGGGGAGCTTTTAAAAATGCTCATACCCACCAGGTCGACTATCTTTTAAATGAGCCCAGGAAGGGGCTGAGGGTCCCTGGGCTCTGTCAGCAGGAGGCCAGGCACGCGGTCGGCTGTCCCTGTGTATTTGCTGAGCAGGGCCTCATCTCCTGGACTGTAGGACAGGCACCTCGAATAGCTGCTGCCTCTGCCCTCCAATGGCTCCTGGAGAGCTGGGGCCTACCCTCATTTCTCCCTCTGGCTGGGGCTCCTTTGGTAGCAGGGTCCACTGCACAGTGCTGCAGGGCTGCCCTTGGAGGTGAGTCACCTGGTGCTGTAGACTGAATGATGCAGAGAGAGCTACAGGCAGAGCCCTGTGCCCTCCCTCCTCATTCACAACCTGAGTGTCAACTAAACCAACTCTAAAACAGGACAGGAGGATTCAGGGCCCTCCGCAGCTTGGCTCACCGGGTAGCATTCTCCAGAGCCTGGGAGAAGGTGGCATAGTCATCTGTGGAATGTTCCAGGGAGTAGAACCACGTAGCAGCAGCCTGGACACGGGCATCTGAGTCTTTGCCACCCAGGGAGTTCTGCAGGGCCTGGTAAAAGGCTGTTTTGCTATTGGTCCTGCCCTGACGTTCTTCAAATTGCTATAAAAGAAGACACGGAATTCCTCAGTCAGAGTCTGAAAGGCCCGAGGCAGTGTCCCTCAAACCCTGTTCTAGAATTTTCTCTCTGGGAAGTACTGGAACATGGCAGTAAGTACATGGGTGGTAGAGCCAGACTGTTGGGTTTGAGTCCCAGCTCTGCCTCCCAGCTGTGTGACAAATGGCTGTGCCCCTCTGTGCCTTCCTTCCCCATGGAGTTCTAGGAAGTGCTGAAAACGGTGCCCAGTGCTTAGTAAGTGCTCAGCGGACGTCAGCTATCATCGCAACCTGAGGACAAGTCACACCCCTGCATCTCACTCCCTCAGCCGACTCATGTGTAGCTGTGATCTGATGCTGAGGGGGAGCTAAACTGAGTTTCATTCACTAACTCGGTCATTCATCACCTGCATACGTTACATGCACTTTTATATGGATAAACATAATCTTCACACAGGGCCAACCATGTGCCAGCCTTCGAAAAGCAGCCATGAACATGCTGATCAAGGTCTCTATCTCATGGGGCTCACGTTCTAGTGGGCAAATAAATGTACAGTTCATCAGGAAACTGCTGTAAAGAAAAGTCAAGCAGGACATGGGGCTGGAGAACATGGGGTAAGGGTTCTATAGGATGGCCAGGGAGGGCTCCTAGCTCTTTGTGGGGTGCGTGTCCAGACGGGAACAACTTTCTCTCTCTTACTCTCTCTCCCCTCCCCCTACTCTGCCCCCCTCCCTCCATTCTGCCTCCCTCGCTCCATTCCTCCCTTGTTATGGCCTTGCTGCTGTGCTGTGGAACTCTGGGATGGATCATTTCCCTATTTCCTTTCCCCAGCACTCAGTTTCCTCGTTTTGGAAGACAAGGGGCAGCGGAATGTCATGAATGCAGCTCCCGGGTGTGAGGCCCGGACCCCATGGCCCTTCCACAGTCCTATGATACATGTTTACATAGTTCTAGAATCTTGTGCAAACAGCAAAACGTGCTTATCAGCACACCCTGGCATGTTTAAATTGCTTCTCTAAACATTTCTAAGCACACAGGACCTGTGATTAGAATTCAGGGAGGGGGTGCGATCCGTGAGCAGTCCCTCCTGGGTGAGGACATCCTTGCCTCTCGGATGGGCTTAATGAGAGGAGATGGGACCAAGTCAGGGGAATCCCTGATCAAAGGCACATTTAGTGGCCCCTGTGCACCAGCTTCAGAGGAGATTGAGGAGCTAAAGCTAGGAAGAGGATGTCATAGAGAGTTTCCTTTTAATACTATCATCTGTAATATTTTATTTCTTAGAAAAAGCTCTGGAGCCAATATGACAACGTATTAATATCTTGCAAATCTGAATAGTTGCTATATGAATATTCATCATATCCGTGACTTTTCATTATTTTTTACTATGATCAAAAATAATCTCTGTCACGTGAGACAGTTATTTTATCCATTCAGGACACACATAGACACAGACAGGCACATTCACAGACCTGAAATAACAGTCATGCATAACATTCACACTTCTCACCCTTACCACATATAACGCCTATGACAATTTCTACTCTAGTCTTTTCTGGTCTAATCTAGTGTATTTAAAAAACGCCTGCCTGTAATCTATGATCTTGATCTCACAACCTACCAAGGGGGAAAACAACATTGTATTTATTCTCCGTCCTTTTCTGTCTACAACATTTGATTACAAAGTGATTTCAGTGACCACTGCCATCCTCTTATTATTTATAAACTTTGTGCTAAGTACCACACATGTTCATTTCACTGAAGCATCAAAATAACCTCGGGAATTGGGTATCATGTGATCCCATTTTATAAATCGTAATTCTGAGGCTGAGAGAATCTACCAAGCTGACTTAGGGTGACACAGACAGGAAGCACAGGATGTAACCCCTGGGGGATCTGGGTGTGGCCTTGCTGACCAGTATTTTGGAGCTGGCCAGAGTGTGGGCAGCACAGGGGCACTAGGGACTAAGGAGGAGCACATTTCCAGCAAGGCCTGGGACCCACATATCTTCCTTCTTGGCAAGAACCAGGGCGCAGATGCTGTTGCCAGTTTAATTAGAGAGGCAGCAGGAGGGAGCTGGGGCCACCATGTGACAGTGAGCACTGGTTTCCACGCTCTGTAATTACAGGCAAGATCAGCCTCCCCACAGTGGATTGGGTACAGGCAAGGGCTACATGAAGGGGCTGTCACAAAGTATATATATATGACTTATTAAAAGGAAAAAAAATAAAAATAAAAAAGGCACACAAACAAACAAACAAACAAAATATCAGTGAGGCGTTGGTGTGCCTTTTTAAAGTACCTTCATTAACACATCCTGGGGAAGAGTTAGAGCCCTTGCATGCCTGTGGCCAGGTGGGTGGAGCATGGAATTTGGCATTTGAGAGACCTACTTTCAGTTCTGGCTCTGATCTGGGACCTCTGGTGATTTGTCTCCATTGGCAAATTTGTTCAGTGAGTAGACCTATCGGCCTCTCTACATCAGGCCAGTATATTGGGGGTGATGGTAGACTGAAACATTAATGATTACAAAGTGGCTGACACACAGGAGACAGACTCTAGCCAGTAAATTATTAAACCTAAAATCAGTAAGGCAGGTGAGAAATGCCCTCTGTCTATGCTCTATGCCACGGGGTGTTTGAGAGAGGTAATGAAACCTCTTGGCTGCAGCCCCTTGCCCTCGAGTCACACCCATTTAGTAGCTGTCCAGCACGTGGCTGCTTTGCCAGGCAGCTCCAGGCATCCAGGACACATCAATGAACAAAGCAGGCTGTTCTCTGCCCACATAGGGCTTCTAGCTGGAGGGACAGAGTCTAGCACACAGTAAACCAATCCCTTACAGCCTGCCTGGGGTGGTCCACGCTCTGGGAGGAAGGAGACCAGCGCACAGAGCAGGGGACAGGACAGGGGCACTCGCCAGGGTATCAGACTGGGTGGTGTGGAGGATGGTTGGCCCAGACTGGAGGGGCCTGAGCATCAGGACTCTATGTAGCAACATAGCCAGTGGGGTGGGTGGGGCAGAGGAACAGGGCTGAGGCCAGAGGGAACGGGGAATGGCAAGCCAGGTAGCCTCACCACTTTGCTTCACGTGGGGCCCAGAATGGATGAGTGAATGGATAAATGAAGGAATGCCCCCAGAGTTCTCTACACTCTGAGGTAGATAGAGACGCAGACGTTTCCTTGTTCACCTAAGGAAGATAAATTGAGGACCAACCTACTGTTGGCCAGGGACTGAGCATTCAAAACGAACGTGACACAATTCTTGCCCTGGAGCAGAGCCTGGTGAAGTTGGAGGGGCCGACTAAGGAGTGAGCCAAGAGCTCCGTGAACACTGGCTGACCACTCATGGCCAGCGGAGAGAGGGAGGCTTGGGATGCAGAGTGATGGTCTGCTCCAATCAGCCTCCTCTCCCCCCACTCCTCTGAAAGGGCCCCTCATCAAGACCTCCTGCAACCCACACCCCACAATCCCAGGCCCAAAACCTTAACATCTGCCCTCATTTCATTCAATCTGTGGCATTTGACACTTGACTTCTGCTTCCTTGTGGAAATGCTTTCTTCTCTTGACTTTTCAGATATCCCATTTTCCTAATTTTCTTCCAGATTTAAATGCACAGCCCTGACCTCTTTCCTACACTCCCAACTGATGTACCAACTGCTGAACCATGATATGTCCTAAATCTGATCATTTCTCACTATCACCATGTCTAGGAGCCTAATTTACTAGCCTTCTCCCTGGATTTCTGTAACAGAGAGCGATCTAGTCTCTACTTCTTCTGTTCCCTCTCCTTAGTCACTTTCCATATAGCTACCAGAATGCTGTTCTTTTTTTTTTTTTTTTGAGACAGAGCCTCAAGCTGTCCCCCTGGGCAGAGTGCCATGGCATTACAGCTCACAGCAACCTCCAATTCCAGGGCTCAAGCGAGTCTCCTGCCTCCGCCTCCCAAGTAGCTGGGACCAAAGGCGCCCGCCACAATGCCCGGCTATTTTTTGGTTGCAGCCGTCATTGTTGCTTGGCGGGTCCGGGCTGGGGATTCGAACCTGCCACCTTAGGTGTACGTGGCTGGCGCCTTAGCCGGTTGAGCTATAGGCGCCGAGCCAGAATGCTGTTCTTAAAAGGTAATTGAGCTGGATGCTATGGCTCATGCCTATAATGTTAGAACTTTGGGAAGCTGAGACAGGAGAATAACTTGATCCCAGGAGTTCAAGATCAGCCTCTACAACACCACATCTTTATAAAAAAAATTTTTTTTAAATTAGCTGGGTGTGTGGGTGGCCACTTGTAGTTCCAGATACTCAGGAGTCTGAGGGTGGAGGATCCCTTCAGTCCAGGGATTGGAGGCTGCATTGAGCTATAACTGCATCATTGCACTCCAGCCTGGGCAACAAAGCAAGATGCAGTCTCTAAAAAGTATTAAAAATAAGAAAGCAAAATCAATATAATCACTTCCTAGCTTAAAACATTCCCATAATAGGGCTGTGTACATTGGATACTTTTTCTTCCATTCCTGTGATACTTTGCTAAGAAGAACACTTTCCAGCTCCATCTATATGAACATGAAGGACGGAAAGTCTCCATCCAAATCTATAACCTAGTAACAGCCTAAGAATACGGGAAGAGGGGAGGGAGAAGGGAGGGGGGATGGGTGGAGGGAGGGTGATTGGAGGGATCACTTCTATGGTTTATCTTACAAGGGTACAAGTGAATCTTTCTAAGAGTAGAATATGATTGTCTTAACACAATAACTAAGAAAATGACATGAAGGCTATGTTAACCAGTTTGACCACACTGTACCCCAGAATTGCATTAATGTACATAGTTATCATTTAATAATAATAAAAAAAAAACATTCCCCTAACTGCCCCCATAAGGAGAATGAAGTTCCTTTTCTGCTGGCCTTCGAGGTTCCAGCTCACTCCCACCCTTCCTGCCTTGACTTCCTCTCCTCTCACTCCCGCTTGTTCCCTGGGTTTCCTGGCACACTGACTGTCCTGTGTGCCCCAA